GTTTGATCCCCAATACCAAAAAAAAAGAATTTATGAATTAAAAAATACATTTTTCAATAATATATGAATGAGAATTATGTACTATATGATTCACAGTAAGGGAATACTGTATTACACACCTATATTGCATAGTAAAGCTTTCTTTGGGGGGTAGTGCTGGGCATTGAACCCACAGCCTTCTCACTGAGCTACGTCCCCAAACTTTTTAATTTTCTATTTTGAGACAGAGTCTCACTAAGTTGCTAAATATCCCAAGTGGGACTTGAATTTGCAGTTCTCCCCCGAGAGTTTTGTGAATGGAGATAAAACCTACTTTGCAATATTTGTGATGATTAATTTATGTGAAATTCTGAAAGAATGTTTGGTACATAGTAGGCACTAAATACCTATTAGTTACTTACATTTCCCTGCTCTTTCTCCACAGCTGTTAAAGACTTAATTATTTGAGGGGACAAATTTTTTTTTTTTTTGAGACAGGGTCTCGCTTTGTAGTTTGGGCTGGCAATGAACTCACTATGTAGCCCAGGCTGGCCTCAAACTCACAGCGATCCTCCTGCCTCTGCCTCCCTAGTGCTGGGATCACAGGTGTGCACCACCACACCTGGCTAAGGGGACAAATATTTTAAAAATTTTATTTGTGAATAAAATAACTTTCCAAGCACACCATGATAGTAGTGTCCTTTACGCCTGTCCTTTGTGTATATATGATCAAACAAGCAGAGAGTAGTATAAACTGGAGGTCTTCTATGGGTGTATGGAACATTATGGAGCTTACATGTAAATTGCACTAACACCTCTCCAGGTCCCCAAGTCAGCAACCTGACCACCAGCAGTGATTCCTTGTTCATTAACTTCTAATTCAATCACTCACTAGCCTCTATTGATTTTATCTCCTAAATATTTATTACTTTATCTCTTTCGCAGCTTCTCTCCCTGTAGATCACCATTGCCTTATTGGCTGGATTGACTTAATAGTCTTCAAACTGGTCTCTGCCTTGAACGTTGCTTCCCTGCTCTTTCTCCATAATGTATTCATTCTAAATTTATGATGAAAAAGTGAACATTTAAAAGTTTCCAAGATATAAGGGAAGTTGTTCACTATAAAATTAGTATATTGAATTTGATTTCTGTGTGACCTGTTTTGAGCCTAATATGAGCAGTAACTTGTTCCTATCTGGGAGATGACTTTGTGATTAGTGAAAAATTATTAGTTAACCAGAAAAGTTAGGACATTTTCCTGAGAAAAGCAGGAACTATTAAATGATCTACAGAAGTAATGGCTTTTAAAGGTAAGATGTGCTTATCTTAGATAAGATTTAGAAGGGGCTAGATAAACCATTGGAATAAATTTGAGAAAAAGATTGTATCGAGATGGATAACTTGGGCCCGGGATTTAGCTCAGTGGTTTTGCTGCCGGCTGTGCAAGTGCAAGGACCCGAGTTTGATCCCCGGTACCAAAAAAAAAAAAAAAAAAAAAGATGGATAACTTCACAAACTTATAAATGAGATCGAACTCAGGACTTTTGCTCTGAGCTATATTCCAAACCTTTAAAAATTTTTTTTTTTTTACCTTTTTAATTTTGAGACAGTGTTTCTGTAAGTTGCTAAATTGCCCAGGCTGGGCTCAGACTTGGAATCCTGCCTCAGCCTCCCAGAGTGCTGACATTACAGGTGTGCATCACCATGCCTAGCTAAGAATCTGTTTTGTTTTCTTTTGTTTTCTGGGGCAGGTTCTCCCTTTGTAGTCCAGGCTGGCCTCAAACTCACGGCAATTCTCCTGCCTCAGCCTCCCGAGTGTTGGGATTACAGGCGTGAGCCAAGCCTTGCTAAGAATCTTTTTTAGAGATGTTAAATATGGCTTCTTGTCCAACAGGCAAAGAATTTGCTTATTTATATCTATGGAGAAGTTCACATGATATTCTACTATTATAACTGTCATCCTCTGATGTCTTAGTTGTGCTCCTCTTTTACCATATTAGTTTATCTGAAAAATCATAAAAATGAATAGATTTAAATTACCTTTCTTAACTTAAACAAGTAGGGATATTTACTGGAGTATTTTTATGAGGTATACAATCCCAACCTTGATCCCAATAACTATATACCCTTTTATAGATTTTGGAGGCAGCAAAATCTTGGAGGTAGCAAAATTGTAAGTCTATATCCTTAGGTCTTTAGGTTCTTCTGAGTGTGAAAGTGTCTCTGTTGGTGATTTTCACTTGCCCAGAAACTGGGATCATAGACCTTTGAAGACCCAGAGGGACACTTTCACTAGCTTCACTTGTGAGCTTGTTAGAACTGTAAGTTGGGGAGGGGACTAAAAGAATTGGAAACTTTGAGAGTGGGGCTCAGCAACCTATTTTAACAAGTCTTCTGGGTGATGCTAATTGTCACTGAAGTTTGAGAACTACAGCACTGATCAAGTTGAACCCTCTGATATTTCCATAAGGAATCAAAGATCCAAAGAGTCTGTCATAATTAGCAAAAGTACCAGAATCTTCACTTGGTAATTCCTAGGATGATGAATCACCCCCCCACCCCAGGAAAATTTCTCTATTGTGATAATATTTTTTTGGGGGGGTATCAGAGATCGAACTTGGGATCTTGTGCTTGAGAGATAGGTGGCAGAACCACTCAGCTAAATCCCTGGCCCAATTGTGATAATATTTTAAAGAATGCTACATGAGAATAAGTATAGCAGGAAGTGAGTGTGTCTACCTTTAACTCATAACCTAGACGGCTTCTTAAGTTTAACGATAGTTTTTTTTATCTATTGAAGTTTTGTCTGAAAGGAAAGTTGGTTTAATATTTGTTTATTCACTTGATTATTCATACATGTCTTATTTCCCAAAGCAAGTGTATGTGGCACTTACATAACTCAGCCCATCACTTTCCTCTCAGTCTAACAATTCTCCAGGATGTGCCCCTGAACCTACTATAGGCAGTTAAATTAGACAGAAATTAATATAATGTCAGAGAGGGACTGGCTCTCAAGGAAGTCAGTGAGAAATAGACATCAGAATTGTGGCTGGAAGTGCATCTGAAGAAGGCAAGAGTTCAAAGTTAAAATAGTCAGAGTTGCATACTTCGCTAAGGGATAATCAGAACTTGAGAGTATACTGTAATTAGTATCACCCATTTCACTAAGTCCAGATATGCATCAGACACTCAGATGGGAGACCAGGACATCTGGACCCATCCCTCTCCCAAAATGTTCCTGTTTTGGAAGTCACAGATAAGCCAAGGTTAATGATGTCAGCCTTATACCCTTGCTAAGTGCCCTGCTTCCCTACTGGATCAATATTAGCTAAGTGACTATAATTGTAATCTTACTGGTTGATCATAGCTTGACCCAGGTTGTACCCGTATTATAACTTTGCCATATAAATTACCCCAGACACGAATGGAATTAATATGAAAAAATGAAAAAATGGAAACAAAGTCTTTGTAAATAGGGAGGGATGGAGGGGTTGAAGGGAGGGCAGGGGAAGGGGGAAAAAATAAGAACCAGGAGAGATTATGTAAAGGTGCAAATTTCCAATGATGAATGTCATTATATTGTATACCTAAAATGTACCAATTAAAAAAAAAATTACCCCTGACAAAGGGCCTCTATGGCAACCCAGTTGGGACCCTTCCTGTCTCTCAAGAGTTACTCCTATTCCCCAATAAACCTTTCCTACACTTAACTTTTGTCCTTTGGAAATCATTCTTTGATTTCAGAGGGATGTGAACTCACACTTCTGACATCCAGAAAGTTGGGAGTTATACTTCTCTTGTATGAAACCTACCTTTTTTTTTCTTTTCTTCCTTCCTTGGTGCTGGGGATTGAATCCAGGGCCTGTGCTACTAAACTCCAGCTCTACCACTGAGCCCCAGCCCCATCTTTCAATTGTAATACTCAGAAGATGCTTAAAGTGGTTAAGAATAACATTAACTGGACTAGAACAACATTTTTAGTGTCTTTTAATTTTGGTTCTGTAATGAAAACTCATTTTTCATATATATATATATATATATATATATATTCATAAAACCAATGTAACATTAGCATTTGCTCCAAAAATTTGTAATGGTATAGTATTAAAATGATTTTTGAGAAAGTACAATATAGTTTCCTTGTCACTTGAAAAAGGAGGGAATTCACTGTAGGAGGGCCAAACGAGATCACCAGGTCAAGAGCTGAAACAATGACTCCTATTCTAACCACACATATACAGCCTGGAACCCCTGGACTTTCCACAGTACATATAAAGGTCATGGCTCAGTTTCTCGCAGTTGTTAGACATGGTTTTTCGAGAGTACGCTGTGTGGGGCAGTCAGATTTAGGGCAAAAAGGTACAATATTCGGAGAATAAGCACAGAATATACCACTAGAAGGCTAGAATTATCTACCTTAAATTTCTGTAGTACTTATTGTTTTTCAAGGTGTTTTTGTTTTACTCCATATAACAACCCTATGAAGAAGGAAATTGGCACCAGCCAAACCGTCATCGAAATTTAAAGATTCCACGAAGGAAAAAGACAAAACCAGAGAAGTGACAGAAAAGGCAGAAATGCACTTTGCAAGAAAGAGGCTGAGGTCCAATATGAAGAAAGGAACAAGTGGCCCTTAAAGCTGCGTGGAAGTCTGGGGCCCACTCTGTCGGTCGAAGTGGTGTGATTATCCCCAGAGCAGGAGCTGAGCTCCCCAGGCTGGCGGCCTCGCCAGGGCTCTGTCTGAGGCAAGGGGTAAAGTCGGCGCGTTAGGCCCGCGGGTCTGGAGGCATGCTGCCGTCGCCTAACAAAGGCCGGAGGGGAATCGGTAGTGAGCAGTTCTGGCCGCGGGAAGGGTTAATCCCAAACCGGCTCAGCTCGCATCCCGGCCCCGCCCCTCTGTCGCTAGGAGACTCCGGAAGTGAGGGCGGGGCGGCGGCGCGGGCTCTGTGGGAATCTTTTTCTGGTGCTGGGGCGGAGGGAGCGCGCATGCGCGCCGGTACCGTAGCCGCGGTGACCGTCCTCTCGGCCTGCCGGCCCGCGCCCCGCCTCCGGCCCGTCGCTCCCTCCCGTCCGATTGACCTCTGGGGGTGCCGCTCGCTGCGTCCGCCCGCCCGCCTGCGTCCCCGCAGCCGTTGCCGCTGCGCCTGTTCTCCAGACTCGGGGCCGCCGTCCAGGCGGGCTGCATGAGGAGGTGGCGGAGGAGGAGGAGGATGTGAAGATGGCGGAACTGCAGATGCTGCTGGAGGAGGAAATCCCGGGGGGCCGCCGGGCCCTCTTCGACAGCTACACGAACCTGGAGCGTGTGGCCGACTACTGCGAGAACAACTACATCCAGGTGCGGCGCGGGCCGGCTCGGGCTCGGGGACCCCGAATCCCGGGCCTCCTGAGCCCATGGGGGTGGGAGCGCCGGCGCCCAGCGGAGGGGACGGGCGGCGCCGGCCCCAGCGGGGCCCTCCTGCCTCGGCCGTCCGCTCTGTCAGTGTGCGGGGCAGCGGTGGGGCCGTGCGCTCGCGCGCGTGTGCGTGTTGTTTTATCCTCTCCCTCACATCATTCTGGAGGATTTTCAAAGAGCTGTGCTACTGCAGAGTGAAATACCTCCCTCAGTTTTCTATTATTGCAAATGCCTCAAAAACCATATTGTTAATAATTTTCAGGTTGTAAAGGGATACTGTAGAAGAGCAACTATCTCTTATTGGAAGTTAATGCCATTTTCCTCGCTCTGGAGAATGGGAAGCTGCATGAGAACGAGCTGTCCCCACACCCCTGGTCCTATTAGAATAGATCATTTTCCTCTGAGAAGAATTATGACTGTCAGAGAATTCGGAAAATGAACCTCAGGGTTTAATTTTTTCCCATGGTGGTTGGTTTGGCACAGGGACTTGTAAAGGCAGCGAGTGTGCGCGCACGTGTGGGCGGAAGATACTGGTGCACGAGATGAGATGCAGCTGGACCTGGGTGAAGCAGAATATTTTGTGGATTTAAAAAATACTCCTTTAAAAATTATTTAGAAGGATAGCAGGTTAAAACACACGCTTTGGAAGCCCAGTATCTTTTGTTTTTTCTTAGGACTCATTCTGAATTACAGGTTTTGTCTCCATTATTTTTTCTTTTCTATTTAAATTCTCTTGGGATGAAGATGGAAATGGAAGCGCTGTTTTAAACTCTTTCTTCATGGTCTTTTAAAATTATCTTTCTTAGAGACAGAGTCTTGCTATGCAGTTCAGGTTGGCCTTGAACTCACTATTGTAGCCCAGGCTGACTTCGAACTCCCTGTGATCCTCCTGCCTCAGCCTCCCATGTGCTGGGATTACAGGCTTGCAAAAGCCTGGTCTTTTAAAATTCTTGCTCCTAATCCCATCTCTTCAGACATCCTTCTTAACATTGGCTGTATTGGAAAGCATTCTCAAATCTTAGTATAAATTTAAAAATAAAAGGTGTTAGAATTTGTAGGCTCTCACATTTTATTTTGACTTCTTTTTTTTTGGTAAGGGGATCAAACTCAGGACCTTTCGCTTGCAAGGCAGGTGCAGTGTCACTGAGCTAAATCCCTGGTGGGCCTCACATTTTATGAGGACCACATGGCTAATCAAAGATGGTATTATGAGGTTTTACTTGACTAAACATATTGGAACCCATATTATCACACGGGGAGCATTTATATATGAGAATGAACCCGACATGATCTAAACCATTTTCCTTCAAAGAAGGAGTTTACAGTAGGGAAAGAATCTGTTTTATGTCAAAGATTAATTAAAACAATACAAATATCTCTACTTCTAGGGTACTTTGCTGAGTGGTGTAGGAAATACGCAAAGGTTCAGTTGCCCAATGTTTCATAAAAGGTATTTGAAAGTCTTCTGTCACCCAGAACTATGTCAGGGAATTAATGAATTTGCTCCTGGTGTCTTAGAGTAGTTAGTAGGAAAAGCTGATCTGTGAGTAGATTAATACCACATACATGGTCAGCCTTATCAGAAGTCTCCCTATTGCTGGATTCCACTAAGATAGAAAGTTATGTATTGGAAAAAAAATTGCCTCTGTACTATGGTAAACATGTACAGACTTTTGTCATTCCTTCAAAGGAACAGTATGACAAGAATTTACATGACATTTACATTGAATTAGGTATAATAAATAATTTAGAGATAATGTATGGGGAGGATTGTGGTAGGCCACATGCAAATAGGTCTGATGCCATTTTATAGGAGAGACTGGAGCAGAAGATGAGAGCATGGGGCTCTAAGACCCATCTTTGGTGGATACTGAAAGATAAACCAAGCAAGCCTGGTTAATTTGTACTTTGTAGTGGACTGTGGGTGGTGAGGAATGGTGGAGACCATACCATTCTCAGGGAATTCAGTCTCTACCAGAGACAGACCTCAAAGAACTGAAGTGCTAATTTTGTTGCCTTGTGCAGTATTTTTGTTTGTTTTTTATACAGGATCTTGCTCTGTAGTTTAGTCTAGCCTTGAATTTCCTGCAATCCTCCTGCCTCATCCTCTTGAGTGCTAGGGTTACAAATGTGGACCACCACGCCCAACCCTTGTGCAGTTTGGTTTTTTTTTGGTACCAGGGATGGAACTTGGGACCTTGCCCTTGGAAAGCAGGCAGCAGAACCGCTGAGCGAAATCCCTGGCCCACCTGTGCAGTATTTTATGGGAGAGAGTTGTAGGTCAGAAAAGAAATAGGGGGTGGAAAAGTGATTGAATTGCAATTGTTACAAATAAGTAATAAATAAATTTGTCTCTATTTGGAAGATAAATTTTATTATAATTTAGAGGGTTACTTTTTCTTAGATCACAATTGCTGCATGAAGATAAAAGTACATGGAATATAAATGTAAGAGGTTAAAGGGATCAGCAGTTGTCTTTTTTATATTTTATACATTTATTCCAGTTGCAAAGAGAAGAAAGTCAAAATTTAGTTGTATTTGCATTTTATTTATTTTAAATTTTTGGTGCTTGGGATTGAAGCCAGATTCCTGTGCATGCTAAGAATGCACTCTGACAGAACAACACCCTCAGCTGGATGTATGTTGGAATTTTAAATTTAAAGTACAAATACTGATTTAGTAGAAATGAATACAGATTGTAAATGATCTTATTTAGCACCAGAAGTAGATTTTAAACTTTTATCTCTGACATTATCATCTGTTTTAGGATCTGGTGGGTATATTACTACAGTGCTTTCCTAAGGTGTGCACTCTTAGTGATTTGTTTGTAGTAAAATTGCTCACTAGAACATGGCGATAGTGGGTTTGTGCTGACACAGCTGTGCGTTTGGCTGGCACTCTTGAGACCAAGAGCTGACCACCAGGGGTGAGTTGATGGGATCAGTGATCCAGTGGTCTCCTTAGCCTGACTGTACATCATGTCTTAGCTACTGGTGCCACTTAGTACTAGTGCCCAAACCCATTTGTATAAAAATGTAATTTTTGTCTATAAAGCAGAAAATAGAAAAATTCATTGATTATATGTATTATTTTATACAACTTTAAATAACTGGTTTTATGCATAGGACTGTGAAAAATGAAAGTAAATTAGAATATTTTATTTATTTATTTATGGTACCTGGGATCGAACTCGGGTCTTTGCGCTTGCACAGCAGGTGGAGAAACCACTGAACTAAATCCCCGGCCCTAAATTAGAATATTTTAAATGTGGATTATATTTGATATGAAAATTGAGGTAAGGAAGGAAAATTTTTGTGTTGTCTTGAAAAAGACTTCTAATCTGATTAAATTGTTTCTGTCTTGGAAAAGTAAAAAATACCAGTGACACCTGGAGACAGAGAATACCTGTGCTAGTATATATGCAACATCTATAGGTAGATCAGCTTTTAAATAGTTGTTTTCCAGATTGTTAGTGTAGTTGACGTTAGAAATTTGAAGATCATGTTAAATAAAATTAGTTTTATTATTTCATCCTCCAGAATACATGATAAAGTATTTTTTCTGTATGATAATGTAATGTGTTGATAAAAATTATGACAACTTGCTGATATTTATCAGATTGATTTTTTAAAAAAAATTTCTTTTCCTCACAAGCTCAAGGTCCTGAGTTTGATCTCGGGTACCAAAAAACAAACAAAACAAAAAACAAAAATTTTTTACTCATAGAAATTATTTAGTACTGGGCACAGTGGTGCATGCCTATGATGCTAGACTTGGGAGGCATAGGCAGGAGGCTAGGAAGTTCCAGGACAGCTTAAGCAAGTTGGAGAGAACCTGTCTTTAAAAAAAAAATTTTATATATATATATATAATATATTATATATATAAAATATATACAGACACATATATTTACACACATTTGTACTGGGGATAGCTTAGTGCTAGAACACCTGCCTAGCATAAGTGAGGCTCTGGTTGCAATCCCCAGTACTGTACCTCCTGCTCCCCCCCACCATTAGTCATTAATAAAGATTTTTTTTTGAGATATATGTAAAACATGTCTTTTCACTTATTGATATAAACATGGAATGCCTAATCTATTAGAAAATGTTCAAGAATTTTAAAACAATTGAATAACTAGGAATTTACATTTTTATAGGATTTTATAATCCAGGTCATTTAAATAAGTTTATATTTGTTACTTGCCTAAAATAAATCTGAAAACCAACTTGTTGATATTGCATTTTTCTTTTTATTAAAGAAAGTTACTGGTTTTTGGAGGAAAAATTCACAGAGACACATAGTAAAATCTCATTGTTTATTATTTAATGTTAAGAGCAAAATCATCCCATAAATTTACTCAGAAAAATAGAGTTTCCTTTAAAATTTTATCTGAAATACTTTTTTTTTTAAATAATAGGAGATGTGTCATTAGTAGCTTGCCTTCTGTTTGTCAATATGGACACTCCCAGAATTAGCTGAAGGTTGCATGAGAAGTTTATAAGATGATAAAATAATGGCTGATTATAGTTTCCCAGAGTAGTTATTAAAATGATATAGTTTGTTTTTTTTTTTGTGGATTGAATCCAGGGCATTGCACATGCTAGGCAAATGCTCATAATCAGCCCTTTTGAATTTTAGTTTGAAGGAAGGGCTTGCTGAGTTGCCTAGGCTGGCCTCAAGTTTTCATTCTGCCTTAGCCTCTGGAGTTGTTGGGATTACCATCATGTGCCACTATGCCCGGTTGACCCAGGGCCTTTGCACTGAGCTACACTTCCAGCACTTTTTAATTTTTTACCTTGAGACGGGTTTCACTGAGTCACTAAGTTGCCCAGGCTGAACTTGAAGTTGTAATCCTCTTACCTCAGCTTCCCAGAATGCTGGACTTACAGTTATGCATCTTCATGTCTGGCTCCAGTTTAAGATTTATGTTTTTTATTTAA